CCCCACACATTCCCATAAACCCTCTATGATTCTCACTTTGGGGATAAGAAACCTAGGTTGAGAAAATTGAAGGCTTTTCTGAGAATGACAGCTTGATGGTTTGAGCCCCATCTGATGCTCTTTCTATTAGTGTGAGGTGAGTCTGTGCAGCACGAGGGGCCCTGAGCTGGGTGGGGTGGGGGGCGTGAGAGCCCTGCACTCGTCTCCTCCCACGGGTGGTGGTAGAAGGTTGCCTGCGTGCGCTCTCCCACCCTCACCTACAAACAACTACCTTTCTCTGGGTTTCAGCTGATGCCCTAGCCTCTTCAAAGCGGCCTTGAAATGCTGAGGTTCCTTGTATCAAACCACAGACTGGAGCATGGGGTTCGTTACTCTTGCTTATTTCATGGTTGGAGAAGTGGCCGAAATGTCCACAAAACACGCAGGGGACGTCAGCCTCAGCCCCTAATTTGAAAATACTTCAGGAAATGGTTAGATGAGCCCCAACAGACATTTTACCTCAAATCAACTTCATTAGAGATTCTCTGGCAGGGCAAACCGTTGATAGGAGAGGGAAGATCAGAGCATGCAGAGCACATTGTGCATGATTTACAATAAAACCAGAATCACTGGTTTGGGACAAAAGAATTTTTAATGAATCACTTTAAACCAAAGTCAATAGATAAAGAGTAGAGATCAAGGCTGATTTTTCACCTTTTAAACATGGGGGGGAAAATAAAAAATTAACATTCATCCCAGGTCACACCAGGGCCAGTGATTTAGCACAACTTTCCCAAACTCTAATGGCTCAAGAAGGCAAAAGTCATGAGCAAACATATGTAGAAAGCTTGAACTATCAGTTCTAGATAGGATTCAACACCTAACAAAGAGAAGACACACTCTTTTCAAGGAAGTGTGGAATCTATAAAAACTGACAATGTACCTCAATGAGTTCTACGGAAGCATCATTATATGTATATAATCATGCATATTAATGATGTATAGTATATTCTATTATTATATAAAAAATTAGAAATCAATAATAAATATTTTTACAAATCCCATGTATCTGGAAACCAAAGAACATACTAATAAATATGCTTAGATTAAAAAGAAGGATGAAAGAGAGATTACAAAATACTTAGCAGAGGACTAACAATGACACTGCATATCAAAACCTGGCAGCTTCAGGCCCAGACTGTTTCATAGGTAAGTTCTTCAGATTTTTGAGAAATAAATAATATGTTTCCATAATCTGACCCTAATCGCATATTTAAAAAAAATTATAACTAATTAAGCTTTATCTCAGGAAGGCAATAATGGCTCAATGTCAAAAAAATAATTTGTCAATGTAGTTTTTAACATCTCTAGAATAAAGGAGAATAACATTATCATTATCTTGATTTCTGCAGAAAACACTCAATAAAATCCAATACCTATACTTTAGTGAGCCTTC